CACCAGAAGCCTGTCACCAGCAAGGTCTCTGCTGTTTTCAGGTGCCTGACTGAAGCAGCTCCATTTGATGCCATGCTTGCTGCCATGCAGTGAGAGGAAGCATGCATCGCAGCTTGGAAATACTTCTCCCAAAGCCCTGGCTGTGTTGGCAGGTACATTAGAAGCATCTACTGGGCACCAGCAGGGCTGAAGAATACTGTCAACATTTACAATTGCTGGATATTCTAACAAAGGAAGGTGATGCATTGGACCATTGTATGGGAATGTGAGAAGAGTACAGAAGGAGAATGAGGCCAGTCCTTAACCCCCACCCTCCATTCTTACCCAATTTCATTCTGAATTAGCTGTCCTGTCAGCAACTGCCTACATCCCTGAGAAGGACATGGCCACTAGTCCCCACATGGGGAAAATAAACAGCTTCTACGGGTAACCCAGGCAAACAGTTTGAGTCTCGTGGCTGGATTACATCTAGAGATTTTTGAGTTTATTACTGCCTCTGAGTTAATGGTCCGAGGTCTTACAACAGTGTAGGCTCACACTTTGACATCGTAACAACAGTGCTTCTAGGTGATTTATCTGTGGGGATTGAACTAGAAAACTGACACTTTAAGCTTAAGGAGTTTCCTGCGCCTGCTTGCAAGCTAAGGGTCTCTGTAGGGAACATGCGACCTGAGTCTTCAGCAGTCAGTCTGCACAGAGCCAGCCTACAGCAAGGTGGCATGAATTGTGCCACACTGCCTTATGGAGCAGCCTGCTTTGACTCTCTCTGGTTTTGTTTTGTTTTTTGTGTGCTAGGGTTCTAGATCTTAAAAAATGAAGCAGTGTTATGTTGTAACCATCCAGTGACTTCTGTCTAACTTCTCTGTGTGTATTTTGTGAACATAACAAGGCCTTTTGGACCTAAAAGAATGAGTCACTACTGCTTGAGTTAAAGGACCAGCTCAGTAAGCTCAGAGGTAGTAGCTGATTCATAAACCTCTGTGCAGATGAACCCCACCTCACAGCAAGGAAAGGAGTGTGTGTGGTCTGTCCCCGGGTGCTCTCCTAACTCTGGGTCCAGATTGAGGGATCCAAGGGTTTTCCCTTGAAATTGCAGTGTATGTGAGCCCCTGTGCTAACACATATTCACGTCTCCACCCCCCACTGCCACTCCTCCACCCTCAAAGAGCGGCATCACTTGCTTGACAAATGGAGAGGATGGTAAATCTGACTCCTGGTTTATCCAAAGGGACAACAAACTCCAAGGAGAGGCCAGCAGCAACTCACCAAGGATTCCTGCGTCATGCATTCCCCATAAACTGCAGTCGGCGTAGTGCAGCCAGGGGACAATTTCATTGCCTCACTGGCATTGGCTCAGGCTGACACAAGTTATGGAGAAAATTGTTATTCAAAGTAACTGTCCTGCTAACTAAAGTGAGGCCAAATATACAAGGAGCTGCTGTAGGGATGCTATGAGCATAAAGAACCCAACCCATAACTGGCAGAGTCACAGCACTTGGCACTTACAGAGCTTATTTCATCTTCCGAGCATTGACAAAGGAATGTGGGACTTGCCAAACTGGAACAGCCCCGTGGCCCTGCTAGTTAGTATGTTGTCTCCAACAGGAGCCGGCACCAGCTGATTCAGAGGAAGGTGCAAGTGACCCTGCTGACTTAACTAATTTATTCTCACAGGACCCCAGTGAGTTACAAAAGAGCAGATGTGATACCAAAGTAAAGAGTGTTTGACGTCCCTAAGTTGACAGCTTCCCCAAGTCAACAGTAGGCATCAGTGTTAAGGTCGCACTAGGAATGAAGGGCTCCTTGTTCCCAGGCCTCTGCTTGGACCACTACTTCAGATTCACAAGCCCCTGGCACCCATTCTAAAAAGCAAATATAAAAAGTTTTGTGTGTGGTTACAGTGGAGCAGCCCTGTCATTGGTGCAGAGGACAAAGTCACCTACATGGCTTATTCAAAGCTGGTATATTTATTATTTCCCTGAGAAGCCTGAGCAGAACTTAAAAGTCCTGTCTCAGCATCTCTGGTATGAAAACCAGTGGGCGTTCTTCCAAGCCAGATTGTGTAGCAGTAGGTTTCCTTATGAGACTAGCTAAATGATGAAAATACCTAAGAGACCATTGGTCCCTTCCACAATGTCTGCCTGTTCCTTGGTGCTGCAAACAGCAATGCTGGAAGAGCATTCTAAGAACTTCCGTCTCCAAAGCGCAGTGCTTCGCAGAATGGCACATATCAATCAACTCAGTGTTTTGTACACCTGCATTTTACCTACGGCCTAATCTACCACCTCTTGGCGTGCATGAAAGATTCCAAGTGAATACAGTAGGCGCTGGATTGAGCCCTCAAAAAGCCAGGAGGTTTGAAATAAATTATGTTGGGACTGACTCAGAGCTTCGGCCAACATCAGGGAGTCCTAACCAGCTCAATTTTGGGCAGTCTTCTCCACAGCTAAGAATCTGGCCCTTGCTAGCAAGTCTGGCAAGTTACAGAAGACTGGTAAGTAGTCAAAAAGTTTAAATGGTGGTGAAGAGCCTCCACATCAGTGGCTCACTTACTCTATTTTATTTTTAATAACTGTGCCCCAAAGACAAGAAATTGCATTTCAAGACCCAGCAGTAGCCATCACGTAGTTATAACAATTTTTTCCAGTAAATTTTAAGGTCCATCCTACCTTGTTCCCAAAAAGAATAGTGTGATGACATTTTAATGTGTGATTTTCTTACTGAAGTGTTGTCCAAGTTACAGGTCTAAATTAATTACTTCGCAATTAGTCACATCTTACCAGCTAATGTATTGCAGAAGGTCCGCCATGCAAAGGTAGATTGGCTGGCTGATGCACAAAATTGTCAGGACTCAGGGCTAAAAACCAATCCTGGTGTAAGACGGTGCAACTCCATTGAAGTCTGTGGAGCAACACTCACTCATACTGGGGTTGAATATGTCTCCGTAAATAGGGAGGAAGCCAGCCATTTTGTCCAGTGCAAGAATGATCCTGAAAATACATTTCCTTTTATTTTTCCAGTCTACTTTGAAGCATTGGTCTCCACCACTGCTTTTAGGAGACTATTCCAGGTTATTCCACTCTTTCCTGATAATCAACCTAAATCGATCTTAATTCCTTCCCAATATAAATAATAATGGGCTACATTCTGAAATTCCAGTGACTTCAGAGCGAGGGGGGAGATTGGGGAGTAAGGACATCAGGCTCCATAAATAATAAACAGCACAATTTTAAGCATATATTATGGTGTTTTACATATGCGAAGTGCTATGAAAATAAAATTAAGCATCAGGGGTCAGATTCTGCGCTGCAACCCGTAGGATGCTCAGCACAAATTGTGCAGCCCAGAGAGAGGCAAAGGTGACTTTAAGATAAAGTCCTTAAGGTCACTTGGTCCCTGATTTGTGGCTGCAAACAGAGATGTGTACAGCCAAGTGACTCCAGTTTGCACCTGCAATATGGTTTGCACTCTCAGAGTTGTAGGAGCAAAACTGGAGGCTCATTTAAATGCAGAGCTGAAAGTTTGGCCCAAAATGTTTCTATTTCAAATACTTACACTGAGGCTTCTGTTGCATAAAGGTCAGATTAGTGTCAATGTGAGGAGACCAGGATTTTCCCACGTCAGTCCATCCCACTGTGACAGTGAAGCAGGGCTGCTAATTCCAAACAGAACATCTGTAGCGGGGCCAGGGAGGCAAAATGACTCCCTATGAACTTTTGTGCGGCGAGGGGACACCCTACCCTTCATCTCTCGCTGAATGTCACCACTGCAACCACCATTTCATAGGCTGCCCTACCTTTTAATTTAAGCAGCAACCAGGAGGGAAAACACATTCCAAACGATAACTCTTTGGTCTCATTGAATTACTATTTTGTAATTGTATTAGTTAAGTGTGGTGCAGGTTCGTATGAAGCTGAAATCTGTAGTTGTAGATCTGGAAATCCTTGTCTAAGTTTCAATATATTCCACTTCCGGGTGAAATTCATCCCTTTGGAGATGGCCAGCATGAGTCCTGTGCACCACTTAAGTCCCACTCAAACCCCATTGAGTCAGTGGGATCTGGGTTTGTGGACTTGGTGTTTCCAAGCCTGTGTTTGAGTGTCCACATTGCATTGTAAACCTGGGTTTACAATTGCCGGACCTTGGTCTCCTCTCCACACTGCACTGTGCAGACTTTCTGACTCAAGTCTGTGGCTTGACCTGCATCCACATGGCAAAATGCCAGGACTTGGACCTGAGTAACTGCAGCACTCTGGCTCTGAACCACACCCCTCGCAGCATCCTAGGACCCAGGTCCTGAGTTCTTGCTGACCCAAGTCAGACTGATTTATGTGTGATGGAAGCAGAGCTTGGTCTCACACCTGAGTCAGAGCCCAAGCTTAGTATGCAGTGTAAACATACCCTAAATGAAGTATCGGACATGCATTGTGGCTCTGCCCGTTAGTGAATTTAGCACTAACTAGGGACTTGCCGAAGCAAAGTGTGATTCTTGGTTAGTTCATTTCTACTGAATGATTCTAAATAATTTTTCAGCTCACAGATCTGAGAACACATTGAATGACTTGCATCTGAGTTGAGTGTGATTTGCTTGTGGAAAAAACATGAAAGGCTGTCTCTGCATTCAGCCTCTGCATCTTTCTTTGAGTACAGTTTTCTCTGAGGTATAAACTGCAAAAAAATAAAGTCTATCCTTTTATTGAATTGAAAGACTTTAAGGGCTTAGGTTCTAACACTGTCAATGAGGCTTACCCATGGGGCACTTTTTTCCCACCACCTTATATAGAGTGAGAAACCCAAGGGAAAGGAGAGTGAACCTTCTCTCAGCAAAATGTGCTCCTCGTCCCCTGTAGTAATGAATATTCTAAAAACTTCCTAGCAATGAATTGGAAAACATAGAGGTGACCATTTTTATCTGAGATGTGAATATGTTTGCACCTTTCCAGTTCCATCTCTCTCTGGCCATTCACAGACTTTACTAAAGGATAGAAAGAAAGCAAAGAGAATGTGGAAATATTTTATTTCAGGCCTTTTAGGAAGCTTCATCATTTGTTTTTTATGAAGGAATATTGGCTAAAAGTCCTAGGGAACATTGGGAACCCTCTGGAGAAGTCACCATTGGAGTGTAGTCTCTCTATGCAACCTCCACTTCATCCTTCCCTCTCCCTCTTTCATACAGAAAGTGTTGGGGTACATTGAAAGCAAGGGGGTTATAGATCTGGCTTGGACCTGGTGAGGTTCAGGCAGGTACTCTGCGGCACGAATCTCTGCCAATGGATACCCATCCTGAATGATAACATCCCCCATCTCGCCACTGCTGAAGTGGAGCTCCCCACAGTGGTGATTAGATCACGGGGACTAGTGTTAGACCACAACATTCATTTCAAATGTGACATGAGCAAGAGTTGGAGCCAGGTCTTCAGTGGTGAAAAGGTAACCACTGTGGCAACTCATCCACCTTATTAACTGGCTTCGCTGTCAAATCACTGATCCATCCAGACTTCACTGATCCTCCTACCCATTCAAAATATAGAAACGATCAGGCCATTGGCTGAAAAATAAGGCCATTGGCTGTTTACACCAATGAAAGTCAACATGACTCCTCAATAATGTTGCCTTTGAAGGTTGACCTGGGCCTTCTGACAGTTTGATCATAGCACTGACCAGTCTCTGTGCCTGATACTACTGTAAATCGATCCATCTTCAGAAGATGCTGTTGCTGAAATTGACATTCAACAATGGTGGCTTTTGAACCTTATCAAATGTTAATGTCTGTGCCAGAAGCAATCAAATGCATGCTCTATTGCAGCTATTGAAATAAATGTTGTATTTAAGTGCTGATAACCCACTAGGACTTGAAACTGCTGATATTGCCCGCATGCACTTTAAAGGTATATTTTTAAACTACCTTCAACTTGAAACTTTGCAGGCATCCTGGTGACACCCTGAACCATCCAAGACACCATCATGTTGGATTTTCTCAAGTCTTGGAGGTTGTTAAAGTGAAGTGCATGTAGAAAGAGAACCTTAATACACAGAGGAACCAGTCACCTTCCTGTATAACACAGACCTTCAATAACATTGACTCTGTCCAGATGGACAGTTACTTCTGCACATAGGCCAAACTTGTCAGAGGTGACTAATGTTTATGGGTATCCAATGTCTCAATTGGGGCATCCAGAATGGCTTTTGAGAATTCTCCCATTCCTCTACAAAGGTGATTCCAATCCAAGCCTCCATATGTGGGATCTAGATATCCTATGCAAGTGTCTGTATTTAACAACAGGCCCCTTCTCTCATTTAATACTGAAAGCCTTACTGTATAAGTGCCAAGCATCTCACGCTTTGCTGATAGACACAGAGACAGAGTCCAGCTTATAGGCCTTCTGCAGCAGCCGAAGTCTGTGATCAAGCAGATTTCCATTAAGAAAAGGAAATCAAGACCAAGGCTAATGTGGATGGATCGAAACACACTTTGAGCCAAATCATGCAGTCCTTGCTCAAGCCAAAATCTTACTCTTGCAGTTTTGCATGAGTAAAGACTTCAGTGCTTGGCCCGTACACTTTGATAAGGCTGCTGCTGCTGCTGCTGGGACTTTGGTCAGGGTAACTGTTTCCAGAGGCTCAAACCCTTTGTGGTCTGGCCATATGTGACTACAGCTGGACCCCCCGTGATGCACAGACAGTCTCTTGCCCAGGAATCCAAATTTGAAACTTTATTTATTAAACAGCTCTCACAGGGACAGAGCGTCCTGAACTGTTCCATCCTGACGGCGTGACCCTATTACACAGGACACACTGAAACCCCTCAAGACTAATGGGCCTAATTTGCCAGGGGCCAGTCTGTAAATAATGCTTCGGGTAGTACTGCTTTAAGGACCACGCCTGCACTCTTACATTGTAGCGTATGTGTCAATGAATGCCACCATGCTATGTATGAATTTTAATAACAATTTCCCCCTTAAAATAGATATAGAAGATGAAGATGGCTTGCCAAATAATGTAAACTTGGAAGGAGTCCCCAGCGTGCTCTGAACAATTCATGTGCAGATACATAGTAAATTATTCATAGAGACTGTCTCCAGCTCTCTCCTCTTGTCTCCTTCCAGGTGGACTAAAATCCATAGAATGGGATGCACTTTGTTCTTTCCACAGCTATTCTTAGATCATTCCTGCGAGCCAAGGGGGAAGGAAGAGACCAACGGTGCCCAGTAAGCAGACTATGATGAACATCCAAAGGAAGATTCTGTCGATCACCATTGCAACATACTTCCAGTCTTCCTTCACCTGAGAACACAGAGGCAAGGGATGTTACCAGGGCTCTTATGGTGAAAGGACAATGTCTTTCTTTTACCTAGCCAGAGAGAGCATCTGTTTTATATTCAAGCACCTTGTGCAATGGCAGGAATGAATTCTATTAAATATGAAAAAGGGATGGATTTTCAGACAGTTCTGATCCGCCTAATTTGCACATTTAATTACAACAATTGTACACACACTGCATATGCAAATAGCTCATTAGGCTTATTTGCACATGCAATAACCCATTTTCCATGGGCCACAACTGTAGGCTCAAATTAGGCAGAGGTTCAAATTGGGGAGGAAAGGTTTCTTTCTCCCCCATGCTTAAACATCTTCACTGAGGAGTTAACACACCCTAACCCATTCCAGGAAGCCTTTGCTGAGTCATCAGTGAAAATGAGCCAGCAAGTAAGAGAAATGATCATGCCTGTTCCCGTTTGACCCACTCTCACATTGCTATGGAAGGATTTACCCAAAATCTTCTCTCTGGCAAGGCCAAATCAATTTCTGTACAGCAGAGGGGGATTTAATGTTCCTCGATGAACATTTCTTGGAATAAAGACCCACAACCTTGTCTACTATACTGCAGCCACAATTTTTCCCCCCAAAAAGAGGTCTGAACAGACCAAAGTCTTGATTTATATGGATGTGCCCATTAACATTTCCTATAAGTTCTGCCTGGTGTTTGATATTCTCAACACATAGCAGCTGACAGTGCTGGTGACCGGCTCAACCATGAATAAGACATTAACACTGCACTGCTTCTCATCCATAGATCTCAATGCACTTTGCAAAAGTGGGTAGGTGTAGCTATGCCCCTTTCATGGATACAGAAACTGAGGCCTATTGAGGTTAAGTGATCTGCTGAAGGGAATGAAGCAAGTCATTGGCAGAGGTAGGAATAGAACCCAATTGTCCTAAGTCCCAGCACTCACCCCTCTCCACTGTCCTAAATCTTTGAAGAGTTAAAATGATACTGCAGCATTATTTAAAAAAGGGGAACCGAGTTAAGGCAGAGCTGTGTGCTTTGGAAAATTCCTCCCTTGGATTATCAGTGCTTTATCCAGCTAGTCAGGGCCTCATGCCAGGCAAGAGGCATAACAGATATCCTCATGATCCTGTGAAGGGGACAGGAGATCTTGCTTTAACTTCAGTTTTTACTACTTCATGGAACTAAACTATAGTGAAAATAGCTGTGGTTTTAACCCAAGGTTAATCAGTAACAATCCTATGTACATGACACTGTTTTAAAATAAACACTTTTGCAAGTTGCTGTGAGCAATTAGTACAATTGAAACAAAAAGTGATTGGTAGGAGACCTTAAACGAGGTTGCTCAATGTTAAGGGACTCCTAAATTTGCTGGAAAACCTCTTAAACAGGTTGAAGGTAAAGGAAGCTATTCAAGTGTCAACGAATCAGTCATTTCAGCTGAGCAAGGATCATGGTTTTACAGTTTTAGTGGCATCATTCTAGTTACCATCTAACACAATGTTATGATCTGACATACAGTCAAACAAAACAGCTCCCATGAATGCAATGGAATCACTCTCTTAAAACATCTCTCTGGTCTTTTCTTTCTACATTAGTCAGGTTTCCCAACAGAGTTTGAGCTTGACATAAGTCATGAAGTTTGCAGAGAAATCATGACATGGCAGAGACTGAATGAAAGTTTAAGTTCTGTGTGTAATACACTGCAATGTTTGTAGAGCTGGTAGAATTATTCATTTTAAATAAGTTGCCTGCGTTTAGCTCTTGTGTTGGCTCACAAATCCTTTGCAAACTAATCATGAATCTTCAGGTGTGTTTGTCATTAATGTTCACTGAATGGCTTATGCAAACAAATTTCAGCCTATGGCACACTCGTAAACTGTTCACATCTTTGATTATTTGCTATTCCTATTAGTTGCTTTTGTTGCTCAAGGCGTCCAATATTGCTTCTGCTATCTGAATGGACAACCAGCTTTTTACATAGGAGAATAACAAATGATGAGAAGTGAATAAGAAATAACACACGTCTCTTACATTGTTCTTTGTACTAAGATTCATGAAACTTCAGGGATTCATAAACAGTCTCACAAACGGTCACTGTAATATTTTCAAACAATGGTTAATTTCATCCCATTGTTAACACCAGATAGACCTCATCACATTTATTCACAAACATGCTCATAAATCACTTTGTATCCTCTTTGCTCAGTTCCAATATTTTGTGACATCAGATGGTACAACGCTGCAGTGTGCTCATGGCATGTAATGCTCCAACTTGAGTCATTTGAGAGGAGCTCTTTTGTTTCCTTGTGATGTATCATCCACCTCAAACAACTTTGAGTGGCCGTCTTTAAAATTAGCCAAAATACAGGTTCAAAACCAAGTGCTAGAGGTGCACAGTTGAGTGCATGTTACTGATGATCCATCCACTGCAACAAAACACACACAAATAACTTGTATCAGCACTGCCTACACTTCCATAGATCTCAGATCCCTTCAAAGGAGTAAAAACCTGTGCATGGAATCGAACATATATTTCCATGACTATATATATTTTAATTCCCCAGGAGTCCCATTCCATTGATATCAAGCAGACTGTGAATAAACTCCATTGGGCAATTAAAATCCTTGCTCATACTCACTACTGAAATCAGCTCAAAGGGGAGAAAACAAAATATTTACATTTCATGAGGCAGAGCGCTCTGAACCTAGTCCATACGTTATATAGGCCGGTTTTAAGCCCAGCCCAGACTAATGAGAATCTGATTCAGTGGCGTAGCTAGGAGTGGAAATTTGGGTGGGCTCCAACTTTCGGGTAGATGGGCAATGACACTGTGTTAGTTCAGCTTCTCCCCTGAGACCACACCATGTTGCTAGCCCTGGTGCCCCCAGGCACAGGGCTTCACCTGCCGAGCTGGGCACAGGCATGGGCGGCTCAGAAAATGGCAAGGCAGAGCTGCTGGAGTGTAGCTGTCTGAAGGGTGGGCGCAGAGCTCTGTCCTGGATTTCAGGTGCCCGAGTGATACTCCGGGGCACTGTAGCAGCACTAAACCCTTCTCAGGTAAGCGTGGGCCTGGATGATAAGTGGGTGGGCCAAGGCTACGCTCCTGCCCTGACTAGAGGCAGATTACAGAGTGTAACCGCAAGACGAGATGATTACTGAGAGGAGATGGGGTCTCTAAAGCGATAGAACGCTCCTACTGCTGCTTGTGCCCAGTACATCCATCAGACAAGTACCTCCGACGCTATGCTCACAAATGAACGTGATTGGCTGGTATGCTCTACCCACTGCTGTGGTAGGTCTGTTTAAAACAGGGATCGGCAACCTCTGGCATGTGGCCCATCAGGGAAACCCGCTGGCGGGCCAGGATGGTTTGTTTACCTGCCACGTCCGCAGGCTGGGCCTATCGCAGCCAATGGGGACTGGGGGAAGTGGCATGGGCTGAGGGACGTGCTGGTTTAAAGTGACATACCAGTGATACGTAAGGGAGAAGGATGCAGAAGTAAAGGGGCCAAGCACCACAACTGAATTAAGTCAAATTGTTCATCAGAGGAATGGTTGTAACTAATTATACCCTTCCTACTTGTCAGTGGGTAAATGGGTGTCAACATAGCAGTACCTAGTCCCCCGGCCTCATCCCTGCCATTAAACAGGCCCATTTGGGGCTCAGTCCTGCCAGGTATTGAGCGGTCTGGCTCTGATTCAGCAAAACCTCTTAAGTATGGGAGCTGTCCCATTCACATCAATGGCAGTAGTCATATGATTTAAGCTAAACGTGCTTAAATGCTTTGCTGGCCTGGGGCCAAACTGCTCAGCACCTTGCACAATTGATCTCTTAATGGCGGTATGATGGCTGTTTAATGCTCAGAATCACTTTCAAATACAAAATAGAGTGAATAAGTCTTGATCCTGCAACTATTGGAAGCCAGGGCAAAATTCCCACTGAGTTTGGGATCAGGATGATAATTCCGAGAGGGCAATTTAGACTATGAATTTCATTTCCTCCCCACTGTTCATCAGTTGTCCATGAGCAACTAATGAGATTCTCTGATTTATTCATCACTTGATGAGAGCCAGTGCTGGACTTTGAATTGGATTGTGACTCTCATAGTTTGACATTCAACATCTGTACTGCATGGGAGAGCTAGATAAGTTCTGCGGGATTGTTTCTGTTTCACAATTTGATGTCTTAGGTATGTAACCAACAAAGCACAGATTTTGAACTTCACCATCCAATGCACAACTGGAACATTACTTTTAGCAAATATTCCAGCACCCAAGGTAAAAATGAGCTTGATGTATTTGTGCTAGTAAAGCGTTAGGTGCTTGATTTGGTCCAGGAAAGGAAACATGAGAGGGCTGTAAGCAGTCTAATTGAAATTTGCTTCTAAATTTGATTGTATCTTCACTGAATACTCAGCTCTTCTCGAAGATGGATTTGCATCAAATGTTGGTCATTTGGCATTCAAGACCACAGACAGAGCACAGAAGAGAGAAACGAGAAAGGATGAGTGGAAACAAAAAAAGACTAGGAAGAAAGATGTTTTAACTGTGCTATAGTCTTTCCCTCTGACTGAAATTCTCCTTCAGACTGCCCTCTATACTGCAATCTCCATGCAGTGCAATCTATAGAGACATCACCAGCAACTTGCATACAGATGTCAATACCTGGCACACAACCACTGATATGTATTTTACTTAGCTTTAAGAGGCTCACCCAAGATTGTTTGAGGGAAAGGATATGGGGCTATAAAGTAGCCAGATCTCCCCTACTAAGACTCCCTCCAGGTAAGAGTGAGTTTGCAGGTGAACCTATCTAGCCACTTCCTATGCCAGAGCCATTCAGCCCCTGGCATATGGGACTGGCGTGGGGAGGAGGGATGGCTGGAATGCTGATGTGCACCAGGGATCACTATCTGGCAGATGGGCCATTGCCTGTGGTATAAGTTAGAGCAGCCCCAAGAGTGTCTGCTCTACGCTGTTAGAAATAAAGCTGGGGGAAATTCTGCAACCCTCTCCTGCATCAAATAATCATTCCAATTTTATTTTTAAATCACTTCATATCACACCTCCCTTGAATTTGCTTTCCACCATTAAGCTAGAAATGAGATTCCTGGCAATGTTGCCAAAATAGTGACTTTTAAGCAAATATTGCAGAACATATGCAGGAAGCAAATACCCAATTCAGAAGTGTGAGTATTTGTGCAGGAATTCTGATTCTAAGAGTCAGGATCACCCAGTTAGGATGCGGGAACACGAACAATACCATGGGACTTACAAGTCACTCAGAACAGCTCAAACGTAGTGTATTGAATCCTTACAATGAAGAGCTGTGGAAAATCTGTAGATCAAGAACTACTGGAGACTTTAATGGGCAAGTAATTCTACATGATTAATACTTTTTGAGAAAAAGAAGGGTTTCTGCAGACAATGTAGCCCTGATTCAGCTAGGTAATGGATTATAAGCATGTGAGTGTTCCTATTGACTTCAGTGGGAATATTCATGCGTAGAGTTAGTCATGATGAGTTTAACTACCTTGCTGGATCATGGCCTTTATGAACAAAGGAAGGTGCAAAATGTGATGACTACAGTTTTGGTTACAAATTAGTCACTCATTTCCAACTGAAAAGTCACCTCCTTAGCCTTTATATTTCTTTAAAGCAATAGTATACATTTATTTGGATTGGGGGAAAGGTTCTGAATATTTAAATGGACTGGACCATTAACTATTCCATGTTGCCGACAAACCAACTTATCATTTCCAAAGAATAGGAACAGTATTAGAATCTTCAGCCAATGGAAAGATCTGGTGGTTTGAACATGAAGGTTCTTTATCTGACTGTTTTTATTTTACTATAATGCAGAGGATGATTTTCCTGTCACAGTATAATGCTACCTTCCAAGACACTTGGAACATTTGTTCCTGAATCAAGCATCCTAAATAGTAGGCAAAGAGCAAGTAATGCAGGCTACCAGCAGCACACCATTTTGGGGTACTAATTACTGTAAAACCTTCATTTGTTCAGAGGAAATAGTGTATTTCTCAAGCATAAATGGATATCACTGTGATAACATGAGTGTCTGTGTTTCCAGACCATGCTGTTAATGCATAGGTGGTAATGAAAAGGCAACCTGGTTATTCTAGCTCAGGTTTGACATACAGCTTGTCTTGCTCATCACAGTCTGTAAGAAATCTCTGATGGCATTTCTATGATATACTGGAGGTATTCAATTTTTAGTCATTTCCCTAAGCGTGACTATGTGCCTGGATTTGCATGCAGACATGTTTTGTAACAGACTGCTGTTTCCTGATTTCCCATTTTTATTTTGATTGAAAAACTTAATTAAATGAACTATTTACTTTTCATTTAGAAATATGTCCCTTGTGGCGATGATACTAAAAAAAAACCCAACAATCGGGAGCTTCAAGAGAAACTTTGTCTCCCTTGCAATGCTATGTAGGTCTCTGAAAATACTCCAACAGCAGCATAGGTTCAGTGTCTCTGAAGTTGTAGGTAGGGTTGGGGCAGCTGGTGCAATGTTCTGGAAATGTTCACTCCATGACAAATTTCAATGCTTTTGATTTTTCATCCCAAGTCAGGAGGAAAGTAACCGTTGAAATATTGAACGTTCCTATAGAATCCCCATTTTTCCGTCAGCTCTACTCCTAAGAATTAATCTTCAGTTCACATTTGTAATATTTCTTTCTGCTATTTCCTTTCTGGATTCAGAACAAGAGCAAACCACAAAATCTATTGGGGAAGGGTAGAAAGTCAGTGGAGAATACTTCAAGTGCTCCACCCTACAAAAAACACTGGGGTACAGGTCTTCTCCTCTAGTCCTTTCTCTTCTATTTTCTGAGGGAATTGCAAGAGTCGCTACGGTGCTAAACTCTGGTGAAACAAGCTTATTTATGTAGCAGTGAATAGAGAAAAAAATAAAGCAACTTTACATAGTAGATTTGGCATCTATTCCCAGGGAAATCTAAAGAATCAATGGTCCCTAGGACCATAGTTTTCCAATGTGTTTATGCGTTCTCATGCTGAATATTTTTAAACCACTAACCCATTAGACTGGTGTGGTGGAATGTTCATTTACAGAAGACAAAGCTGTTCTTTTCTCTTGTACATTGACAGTCATGATGGGGGCAGCTCTCCCCTTAAGATATTGGACCATTTCACAAGGGGAAAGTGTCACATGGCATCAGAGGAGAAGTCACGCACTAGTGGTTTTCATCACACATTGTCTATAATGCAAATGAAAAGTATGGATTACAAAGAATCCAATAGTCATTTATTCAATACTATATTTATATTGACACACTTATAAAGAGATTTACATGAACTGGAAGGTACCTTTGTTTTGATTCAGAGGGGGGAAATGATGCTCTTTTATTAAATCATGGGGAATATATGGGCCAAATTCTATTGATGTCAGTGGAAATACTTCTGATTCACACTGGAATACATAAAAGCAGGATTTGACTCATATAGTTTTAACTCATTGTGACACAGCTGTGGTCCAGAAGAGAAGAGAGATGGTCCAGAGGCTCATCTGTAAAGTAAAATGTGGTCAAGTTCCCAACAAATGAGCAGCAGAGACTGCCTTTGAATTCTCCTTTTTGCTTTTTATCTAATGCTTGCAGTAGTACAAGATTTCCCTTCCCAGATCATAGCTTTAGGGGTGGGTTATGTTCTGCAACAGCTGGGTCCTGTTCCTGTGAGGTGCTGAGCACCTTCAGCTCCCACTGAAGTCAATGTAATTTACATCTGAACACACGGCCATAATGGGTCAGAGCAATGGTCCATCTAACCCAGTAGCTTGCCTTCTGACAGTGGCCAGTGCCAGATGTTTCAGAGGGGATGAACAGAACAGGGCAATTCCAAGTGATCCATCCCCTGTTGTCCCATCCCAGTTTCTGGCAGTCAGAGGTTTAGGGACACCAGAGCATGGGGTTGTGTCCCTGACCATCTTGGCTAGTCGTCATTGATGGACCTGCCTTCCATGAACTTATCTAATTCTCTTCTCAATCCAGTTATACTTTTGACCCTCACAACATTCTCTGGCAATGAATTCCATAAGTGACTGTGGTTTGTATGAAGAAGTGCTATCTTATGTTTGTTCTTAACCTGCCACCTATTTATTTCAGCAGGTGACCTCCTAGATCTTGTGTTATGTGAAGGGGTAAATAACACTTCCCTATTCACTTTCTCCGCACTCGTCATGATTTTATAACTCTCCTATCAAACCTTCACTTGTGGTGCTCAGCATCTCATGGGAGGTGTTTAACAACTTGCAGCACCATAGGTCAGGTGTGTAGAGCTCAGCTGAGCTCCGCCGGGTATGATTTGCTTTCACCAAGTGTTCTGGTTCTTTGCTGTATCATTATAAAATGGTGTCCAGATCTCTTATTTATAGGCAAGCAAAGCTACAACTCTGAGCTGCAGTGTGCTAAGCTTAGAACCAACGGTTATTTTAACAAGACCCAGTGCCAGAGGAATAGCACAGGGCATTCCTAAGCAAAGCCAATCTGTTGAAAGCTATGTGGTGGCTGTCAAGGTTAAAAGAGCAATGACAGATGTGGTACTCAACAACAAGGACAATCTTCTCCTGTACGGGTAGATCATGAAATAGGCAGCAGCAACAGAGAAGCACTGCTAACCTGAGCCCCAACCCTGCAAGACACTGAGGGCCCCCAATGCTCATTGACTGGATCCCAGCCAACGGTATAACTAAAGCTGGTTGAGATGTTTCAAAATTTGAAAACTTTTCCATGAAAATGTGGATGCTACAAAGGGGTGGAAGAGATTGTTTGACCTGCTTTTCATGAGTTACATGAGTTTTGTTTGACAGTCACAATGGGTGGCAGGCGGCCAATTGTACTTACTGAGAAATCTGCATCCTCGGCTCTCAAGTGGTCTGCGATGTAATGGACCCCTTCCACTGCCAGCTTCAAGGCAGGGGACATCAGCAACACGTGTTGCTCTTTGGTGCTGAGAGTTTTGGTTCCTTGCTCTGAAGAGCTGGTTGCCACATTCTTTTTACACTTGCATTTACACTGGGAGGCTTTGCTTTGGGGCTGCTTTTCATTTAGATGATACCGCTGAGATGCCGGAGAGCCACTGGTCTGGCCGTTGTTCTGGGAGGACTCCTCTTGCAGGTAGCAGTACTGGATGCTCCTGGATCTGCAGCGGATGCTCCCATCCTCTACTTTGTTTGGGCTGTACATTTGCTGGATGCTTAATGATCTGCTCTTGGGGATGGACATGGACTGGGTGTCACTCAGCAGATGGCAGGGGGGCTGGAGCAAGGAGCAGCTAGCCTGTGCCGGCTCTTGGTGTAGCACAGAGTATTGGAGAGAAGGTGACTTGCCAACAGTCTGGGGTTTGGCTTGCTCCTCAAGATGGCCACAGAAGGAAGAGGTGGGTGATGGTTCTTTGCTCTGAGGGCTGTTTGAAGAGGAGGTAGTAAACTTAGGCTCCACTTTGGTTTCAGACCGAAGCTGCGGAGAGGAGGCTATTTTGTGCATGGACTCAATCAGCTTCTTGCAATTGTCCTTCACCGCTGCGGGCCGTTGCATGAAAAGGAGGCGTGGGACAACATCGAGAAAGATCCGCTTCACCCAGTCAGGCATGGTGTGGGTGCGGGGGGAGCGGTGGTGCACGTTGAGCACAAAGACAGTGATGATGATGGACAAGGTGACAAATATCATGGTGAAAAGCAGATATTCTCCAATCAAGGGGATGACCAAGGAGGTGGAAGGGATGATCTCCGTAATGAGCAGCAGGAACACAGTCAGTGACAGCAGCACTGAGATACAAAGGGTGATCTTCTCACCACACTCTGAAGGCAGGTAGAAGACTAAGACAGTCAGGAAGGAGATAAGGAGGCAGGGGATGATCAGATTAATTGTGTAGAATAAGGGCAGCCTCCTGATAATAAAGAAGTAGGTGATATCAGGGTAGATCTCTGTGCAGCACTCATATTTCTTGATGTTGTAATTCCCCACGGCATTGATGATGACCCATTCTCCACTCTCCCAGTAGTCCAGTTGGTCCACATGGCTGTGCATGCTCACTAAGTCTATCTTGGCTTTGTCATAGGTCCAGGAGCCAAACTTCATGGTGCAGTTTTGCTGGTCAAAGGGGAAGAAGGTGACATCAATGCTACAGGAGCTTTTGTAGATAGCAGGGGGCATCCACTTGATTCTTCCATCATAAAAAAGGTGGGCTTTGGTCAGGTGGGTGACTGCAAAGTCCCCATCTGCACTAAGGGGAAAATAAGATAAAGAGGAAATTAGAATCCACTGCTTTAAAATTAGTTCACAGACCTTGCACAATATGGCTTATGTTTTCAAAATGTCTGGGATGTTGTTAACCCCCCAACTCTTGCCAAATGTGCAATGGGATATTTAGTGAGTTCCAAGGCACTTGTTTTGCATTGCCACATACGAGAGCTATAATGGTGCATGAAAATTGGGTATGTGTAGTATAGCAAGTGGGTTGTGAAACCTATTTGTATACACAAATGTTTGATTTGCAGGTGCCAGCTTAGGCAGGCAAATGTCAGACCCCACCTTAAACAAATCAAGCACTTAAATTCAGAACTGACCAGGGCTTTTGCTTTACAGCTCATCCAAGAAAAAAATCCTTCCAGCAGCCAAATGCCCCCTAGAACAGCTGTGGCATTGGTTCAAACCAGACACAGGGAACTGTGCCCACTTTTAAGTCAGTTACAACACCTCCTGCTGTACCTAGATTTTCCTTGATGCTCTTCCATCTAACTACTGACCAGGCCTGAGCTTGTAGGTAGCTTGTAAATCCTACAGTGCTGGTAGCATCATGCCATCAGGTTTCATGGCTGCAGACTATGCAGAATGGGATTAATTGTGAAGGTTGCTATATGGAAACCTAGGGAGAATATCTGATTAATAATAATAGAAACGAAACTCTTGATTCCGCAGACTGTTATCAGGTCCTCTCTGAGCCTTCTCGACTCTTGATGAAACAGGCACAATTCTTTTTACCTTTCCTCATAGGTCATGGTTTCTAAGCCCCTTCTCATTTTTGTTGCTCTCCTCTGGACACTCTCTAATGTAACTATTTCTGTCACAGCTAAGCCCAGAGTATCTGTTCTATGCCCATCTCAGACACAGATTTATTGTGGGGGGAGACACTTAACATCTGGGCGTGGCTACGCTTCACTAAACCACCCATTGTCGGCCCATGTCAGCTGACTCGGCCTCAGGGCTATAAAATTGCAGCGCAGACATTCAGACTCAAGCCCAGGTTCTGGGAGCCTCTTCACTTACAGGGTCCCAGAGCTCAGACTCCAGCCCAAGCCCGAACACTTACATTGCAGTTTTATAGCCCCACAGCCTGAGCCCCGTGAGCCCGAGTCAGCTTCCATGGGTCAGCCGCAGGTGTTTTATTGCAGTGTAGACATACCCAAAGGGCTAATCTTTTTTTTCCCTCCCACCTTTGTTCTGTCTTGCCTATTTATACTGTCAGGTCTTTAGGCAGTGACTGTCTCTTACTATAAGTTTGTACAGGGCCTAGCACAATGGGGCCTGTAGACTTTAGCACAACACGTAATAAGGATATTTTATTTGGGAAGGTCATTTTCCAAATAAGCGAGAAAACTACTGAATAAATTGAGTCAAATGCAGATGTTGCTAATCTGTGTAATCAAGCCCTTGGAACAATGCACATACGTCATACTGCACAATGTCCCATGTTCAGCATTGTGCGTGCGACAATGGTTTTTAAAGAAGTTACCTTTTCACCAACCTTTTCTTTCATGCTGCGGCAGAACGTAATGTGCTGTAGCATGGGTTGTCGCTGCTCATCTCAGTGCTGTGACTCCCGCTGAGTTTAGTTTGAGAGCCCTGTTTCCCTGGCTGGGGGGGATGGGCTTACAAAGATGTGGGTCAAACCATTTCTTAAATTGTTCAAGCATTTCAGATTCGCCATCTCTCTCTCTCTAATCTTCCAGCTGCACCCCCAGCAGTCAGACCTAAGCCCCAAAGAGTCATCCCTGTGCCACTTCTTTCTCTCTACTAAAGCTAAACAAAAGAGATCTAATCCCGGCACACTGGCCTATAGAGCCACTGCTGTCACATCTCATCTGAGCACTGAAGCAGGAGAACAGGACTGAGGGATCCCTATCCTGGATCAGCTCCAGCTGGGGACACGTTGGCTGGAGAAAAAACGGTTTCTCTCTATACCAGGTTTAATGTATTTCAAGTTTTTAGCAGAAGATTTCTCCTCTTGGTTTTTTATTTGTTTGTTTTATTAGCTCTGTTGCTTGCTACTGGTTTGCATCATATGAAGTTTCTTCCTTGGTATCCAGCCACAAGAAGATATACCAATGCCCAAGCCTGATCTCTGTCAGAGTGTCACTGTTTCCCTCATTGGTTTCACTGCTGACTTTTTTTTTTTTTTTTTACTACTATCTAATAGCAAGATCACATATTCAAACACTTGAGCTTCTGAATTTCCACCTGCTATTTTTAGGGGGTATTAAAAAAAAATCGGCCAGTCTTGTTTAAAAGTTATTCAAAATACTATTTACAATGTTTTCTGTGTGCATTAAACATTTGTTTTACTAAGGGTTTGTCTACACTACAAAATTATGTCGACCTAAGTTATGTTGGCGTACAACCAGCGCAGTAATTAAATCACTTCTGCGTGTCTGCACTACACTCCTTCTGTCGGTGGCGTGTGTCCTCACCAGGAGCGCTTGCACTGATTGAACTGTCAGTGTGGGATGGCTTCTGAAAGTCAGCAACTGTCGAAGTAAGCAACACCATTTCCGTACTGACACTGCATTGACCTAAGCACTATGCCTCTCGCGGAGGTGGATTTATTAAGTTGGCGTAGCGAGCAAGTTACATCGGCGGGAGTGACATTTTAGTGTAGCTGTTTACAGAGTTAGTGCGATGTAAGCTGCCTCGCGTTGACCTCACTCTGTAGTGTAGACCAGGCCTAAGAAAGTGTGGAGTACTCGCTTTGAAGTTGGGCGGGATCTATTAACTCCTACGTATCAGGGTACAAATAAAAGAGACCTGAGATTTAACTGTGTCATGCTTTCTGAAAAGACAGAACTCTGGACTGTGCTGAACCAGAGTTAAGCTGAGGTGCAAAAAGAAGGGGAATGTTAGTTATATATAATATTGCCTCAGCATCCCTCTGTTACACACACACACACACACTGAGGAACTGAGGGAAATATTTCTTTAAAGTGTAGGTAAATAATTGCAATTTTCAAGTGCAATCATAATTCTGGGATTCAAGTGCACAATCACCCTCTTAGCATGCACACTCATTGTAACTGTACATACAAGTTAGTTGCACAAATCTGTACATGTTTTTCCTCTGTGAAATTCTGGCCCCCTTAGAAGCCGTTATTTGTCCAAACATATGCAGGGTTTTTGAGCCTGTAAATAAGGACACCTGCAACATAACAAGGTCAATTTTAGAGAGTGATTTTGCCAATTTGGCCCTGCACATTTCATTGAATGCTGCTAAAAGTAATCCCAAGCAGTCCACACACACACACATACACACAGAGTCAAATAGAATAAGTAAGGAGAGCTTTTGGATGTCAGAGTAATGCATGGCATTAAGTGCCTGCTATGGTAATTGGTGTTATTAATTAGCACATTCCTTTCTGATTAATCATAGTTTTAACCGCACTGCTAAACAATAGACTACCCTTCAAATGTATTAAATATTTTGGATGTTTTTCTATATTTTCATATATATTCTGTCCTGAGTTGTAATTGAAATAAAACTGTATATTTTATTACAAGTATTTGCACTGTAAAATGATAAACAAAATTCACCTCCTACAAGTACTGTAATGCAATCTCTTTGTCGTGAAAGTGAAACTTACAAATGTAGATTTTTTTGTTATATAACTGCACTCAAAAACAAAACAATGTAAAACTTCAGAGTCTACAAGTCCACTCAGTCCTACTTCTTGTTCAGCCAATCGCTAAGACAAACATGTTTGTTTACATTTATGGGACATAATGCTGCCCGCTTCTTATTTACATTGTCACCAGAAAGTGAGAACAGGCATTTGCATGGCACTTTTGTAGCCGGCATTGCAAGGTATTTACGTGCCAGATATGCTAAACATTCGTATGCCACTTCATGCTTCAGCCACCATTCCAGAGGACATGCTTCCATGCTGACAATGCTCATTAATTAAATTTGTGACTGAACTCCTTGCGGGAGAATTGTATGTCTCCTGCTCTGTTTTACCCACTTTCTGCCATATATTTCATGTTATAGCAGTCTCGGATGCTGACCCAGCACATGTTGTTCATTTTAAGAACACTTTCACTGCAGATTTGACAAAAGGCAATGAAGGTAGCAATGTTAGATTTCTGAAGATAGCTACAGCACTCAACCCAAGGTTTAAGAATCAGAAATGCCTTCCAAAATCTGGGAGGGACGAGGTGTGGAGCATGCTTTCAGAAGTCTGAAAAGAGCAACATTCCGACGCAGAAACTACAGAATCTGAACCACCAAAAAAGAAATCAACCTTCTGCTGGTGGCAGCTGACTCAGAAAATGAAAATGAACATGCGTCGGCCCACACTGCTTTGGATTGTTATCGAGCAGAAACTGTCATCAGCATGGACGCATGTCCCCAGGAATGGTGGTTGAAGCATGAAGGGACATATCAATCTTTAGCACATCTGGCAGGTAAATATCTTGGGACAATGGCTACAACAGTGCCATGAGAACACCTATTCTCACTTTCAGGTGACATTGTAAACAAGAAGCGGGCAGCATTATTTCCTGTAGATGTAAACAAACTTGTTTGTCTGAGCAATTGGCTGAAAAAGAAGCAGGACTGAGTGGACTTGCAGGCTCTAAAATTTTACATTTTTATTTTTGAATGCAGTTTTTTTGTACATAATTCTACATTGGTAAGTTCAACTTCCACGATAAAGAGATTGCACTACAGTACTTGTATTAAGTGGATTGAAAAATACTATTTCTTTTGTTTTTTTACTGTGCAAATATTTGTAATCAAAAATAAAGTGGGGACTGTACCCTTTGTATTCTGTGTTGTAATTGAAATCAATATATCTGAAAATGTAGAAAACACCCAAAATATTTAAATAAATGGTAGTCTATTATTGTTTAATAGTGTAATTAATCACACAATTAATTTTTTTAATCTCTTGACAGCCATTGAAAATATAAATATCCGACCACTGAATTTTTGGGCCAAAGCCCTAAAATGTTCAG